GAATCGATTATATTGGTGATTTCATATGTTTTGTTATTTTCTAAGATAAATTGAGTATGAATAATCCATATAAACACTTGATGGTTTTAGTTATTGGAGGAACTGAAAAAAAATGTATGGCTGGATGGGTTCTCAATTCCATGGTAACACATTTAGCTGGCTTGTATTTGTTAGAAATAGTTCTAATATTTTTGAGTTCCTTTTTATAAATAGCAATTATATAGGAGTCAGTATAGTTTTTAAGAAATTAATTGAGGTCTAGAATGTCAGGTGCTGCAGTACTAAGAGTAGGCATATTGAGTAGACTAATGTAACTAGGTTATAATTATAACTTTAAAGTAGTATGAACTGTTTTGTTATTACTAGTTTCTAAGAAAATTTTTTAATTACAAAAGTTTTTAAGATGTTTTTAGTCTATTTATATATAGCTAAAGCATTATTATATAGATTAATATATTCTTTTGATATGCTGGAGTAGTTTTTGGGTTTCTGGTAAAGGTGATAAAAAACCTGGTATTAAGATATCTAAATTTAAAAAGTATTGTAAATAGAATTACAAATTTAGTTAGTATAATAACAAGTTTATAGTTAATAAAATTCTGAATTCCAGTTGGTGTTTGGGGTGTCTTAGTAATTCTATTATATAACCAGTTTTGTTGATTAAATAAAGTATTGATTTGGTCTGTAATTTTGGTTTATATAGTATTTGCCTATTTTAAGTTATCAATATTATTAAATTTAGATATATTGAGTTATTTTTAAGTAATTTGACTATATATAAGTCTGGTATTATCATGGTTATCAGATATTGTAGTTGTAGAGATTAGTGATGCTATAACTGTTGTATTGGATGGTTCTAGTTAGAATATTGCTTATGTATTAAGTACTTGGAACTTAGTTTATTTTTTACTTTAATGTTGTCTAAATGTTGATTAGATTTTAAAGAATTTGGTTGTTGATCTGATATTTTTAGTAAGATTATGTTGTAAGACAGAAAGACATTTGTTTCTTCTAGTATTGATGTCTTGTGTTTCCTGAGTAGTATTATTTGATATGATTGCTAATAGCTGAATTTGTATAATATTTACTACAAAACCAACAGTAAGATTAAATATTAGTTTATTATCTTATGAAATATTGCTTTTTTATAATAGTTCTTCATCTGTATCTAATTCTGTAATTATATTGTATAATATAAGTAAAAAAACTTTGATAAAGTTAGATATTTTAAATTTCTTTTATACTTTCTCATATAACTAAATTGTTATATTAAGTTCACATTTTCATGTACTTCTGGAGTGTTTGGCATTAATGTTTACAGAATTGTTTTTAGATCAAAAAGCATTGATTAAGAAAATTCCTTGTATTTATATAACCATTGAATTGGAAATGTAATAAGATTAGATATATAACCAAATTTAATAAGATCTATAGTAAAGAGATATTTGTTAGCAAAGCTAGAAATAAGGAAAGTAACTATAAAAATAAGTTTAGATATGTCTTTTATAATAATATTGATAAATTTTTTTGCATATTCAGTAGAAGAATTATTAGCTGGGATTATAGATATAGAGTTGCTAGAACTAGTAAATTTTCTAGTAAAATAAATTAAAGGAAAAAAAAATGACTTGAAAGATTGTTTGGTTTAAAGTTTGTAATAGGTTAGTTAATAGGTTATCTGTAGTTTTTTTGCTATTTTTTAATACTATCATCTTATGTTTATATACTAGATTAGTAAAGATGTAAAGATCCTTAAGACTATTATTGTTTATTTTTTACAGTATTGTTTTCAATGCTTTTTGTAATTTAGGGCTTCTAATAAAGATTTTTTTTAAGGGTTGCATCTTTTTTAGATCAAGTTTATTATAAAGAACAAGTTTAAATAATGATCCAAGATCAGTTTATTTAGTAATTATTGCTATATTTTCAATAAAATGGTTTTTTTCTCTTTTGTCTAATTTTGATAAAATGATCTACAAAAAATATTCCTGTAAATATATACTGATATGATTATTTGACATATTATTAAAAACTTTAAATAAAAGTGTAATAATCTAGTAAAGTAGTCAGGTTATTAATCCTCCAAGTGGTAGATTAGGTGTTCAAATCCTATTGATAATGAAAATTTGAATAAATACCTATGTAATATTCATATTATAGCAACTGTTACTAATGATTAGATTAGGATACTTGTAATGGTGATCATACCAGTATAACTGACAGGTTATGGAACATTTAAGTAACAGTTATGTGATATTGTCCTTTAGAATAAGGTTTGTGATTCATAAAAGAATACAAACTAACAATCAAATAGTATAAACACTAGATAAGTCCTTGTGATTATATAAATCTGTTGAAATTAAGTAACAAGAAGTCCATTTGGAAAGACCTAAATAGAGAGATAACTGGATCTTCAATGACCTTATTGTAAAGACTAATTTGAGAAAATAGATATAAAGGTCATAATACCTGAACATAGTAGTTAGACAAATAAGAATCTTCAGATTGTGAGTCTCAAAAGTATTACCAACCAGGCCATCAAAATGAAATAGAGAAAAAAGATATCAGGTCAACCTGATATACCAATGAATTGGTTGTAATTCTATATAGACTATCTGGATTAGAAGTTTGGTAAAAAGGTAGATGAAAAAGTAGAATATACTAAAGTATTAGGATTATGCTGTGAAGTAGATACTGAGGTCTAAGTAAACTCTATAAGGATATAATAGTTTAATAGTTAAATCCTGACTGCAAGTGTTTGTTCTACCATAATGATACCTAAATCAACTGTAAAAATAGATATAGAAACCTCTGGAAGGTTTAACTCAATGATAAAATAGCTCTAAGGTTGAGATGATGTTTTGGGCATCAGGTATGACCTAGTGAAGTTAACAGGTTTACAGGTTCAGAAGGTTTAAAGTAGAATACCCAAGCAGGGATGTTAGGTACAACAATTAGTAAGGAACCTTCGGGCAGACTCCTTAAATAGGTAATATAAAAAAGTTACATGTGTAACCAATTGTACACTCTTCCTGTAATAGTTCACTGAACCACATTTACCATTTTTAAATAAAGTCAAAAGACCCAAGAGGTCACCTTAACGCCAAAAAAAAGAAAAAAAAATTAAAGACTTCAAATTAATTTTTTCATTCTAATTAAAAAAAAAACTCGAAATTGAACCGAAACCGATCCAAATCCAGAACCAAACTGAAGTATTATAGACTATCGCATGATAGTGCAATGTACGATCCCTAAACCATTTTAACTAAGTTTTTAACATGAATACTTTACCAAACGAATGCCTTTTTAAAATATTTCTTGAACGTTATAAAAATAACTTATTTTCATGCCTTCTTGTAAACTTTCATTAGTGTAGAAATATTATCCCAGTATTGTAGAGTAAACCAATGTCTTTAGAAAATAAAAATTGACAAGAATATTCCTTTCAGTTCTAAACTCTGAAGAGTAAGCACTATTAATACATTTACTGTAAACCAAAACTACCTATTGTCCAAGACCATTATTTGAATATACGTCTTAGATTACATAATGGAGTTGTAGATTGGCTTAATCATTAAGGATACTAATCTCACGATTTAACTTAGCCGCTTGAAGTTAATTTTCGGGTAACATTACTTTTAGAACTTTGTTGGGAATACAATGAAACGAACATATAAAATGAAAAAAATACGAGTCAATTTGATTGGTGAGAGTTATCATTTTTCAGGGGGAGGCTTCAGTTGGGGGTGATATTAACCGAAGAAACAATTTCGAAAGGTCTTATTTCATTAAAAATAATACATGATTGTTGATTAATAAATTTATTTATGATAAAATAATGACTTTATTAGCAAAAACGCTTATAGTGTTAATTTATTTCGTTTAAATATTTGGAAATGTGAACTCAATTCAGAAAATTGTAAAATATTAGCGGAGGCTCTTTATAAGAATATAACCTTAAGTTATTTATTTTTAAGTTGTAACCAACTTGATTCCGAAAGAGAAAAGCATTAGTAGACAATCTTCGTAAAAATACCACTTTAATCTCCTTAAAAAACTTTATAGTAGTCAACTTGGTACTGAAGGAGGAATGGCAATAGCGGAAGCTTTTTGCGAAAATGATACTTAAGATTTGAGAAAAGCAGAAAGGGTATTAGCAAAATCTCATATTTAAGAATAGAAGCTCTTTCCACAAACAATACTCCAACTTCTTTAAATTTTTCTATTAATGATATTGATAGGAAAATTATTAGTGGAATTAATAGTTTTGTTGAAAGAAACTTTCGTTCCTTTCATTTAATGAATATCTTTAAATGCTAGTTTATGTATTATTATAGAATTTAAAAGATACCATATAATTCAGTATTATATGTAATTGTTAATAAATATACAAGAAGATATGTAATAGATGATGATTTTAATATAGAGCTCTTATAAGCTCAGTAATTCGGATCGCATCTTTCTTCTATTGATCGAAGTTTTTCATTATTAAAGATAGAGTAGTTTTTTATAGTACTAATTTTTTGATACTATGTACTAAGTTATTAAGAATATTCTTTATGATATTTATTTATATTCTAGTTTTATGTAAATAGGATTATTACCATTATTCTCATAACAACCATTTTAACATCTGTTTGAATTCTTAAATTTTGATAAATAGTTAAAAACCCTTTGATCGATCCTTAATAAATGTTATAAAATTGAAAATAAGTATCTCAGATACTTGCTGCTTCAGATGTAGGAGCAAGTTCCTGATATTTGATATACCAAATTCATATAAGGAATTACAGGATTCATAGAAATGATAGATAAATAGTAATAGTTATAGCCATTTTCAAAATGCTAGTCAATAATTTCCATACAGTATATCTATGTGTGAAATTGAAGAATTTTAAAGAAAGATTAAAAATCAGTTAAAGGCTAAATGTGTTTCTATCATTTTTTTTTCTAATTCTTTCGTGGTTTCACTAATGTCTAAATGTATTTCTATCATTTTTCTAATTAATTCGTGGTTTCACAATATTTAAATGGGTTTCTATCCATTTCTTTAGTTCTTTCGTGGGTTTACTAATAACATCATTTTGCAAGTCTTGGTTTGGAAAGATAGTCCAATTGTAGTTAATATCTTTCAATAATTTTTTCGTATCTTCAGTTATTTCTTCCAGACACTTTTCAATCGATTTTTTCCCGGCACATTTATTTATTTGGTCTTTATTAAGTTTAGTAAACACCGCAATTTTAATAGCTTGGTCATCAAATTGTTTCATGACTTCTTTTGTATTATTGAAGCTTTCATAATATATCGGATCTATATAAAAAAAAAAATTAAATAATACAATTGTAAATAGAAAGAAAATGAAAATAAACTAGAGTTGGTCCCAAAATCTATTTTCTCTAATCGAAAAGTTTCTAGTTTCAACTATGAGTTATGAAACCCTAAACCAGTTCCGAAATTCCAAATTGATGCCGAAATCCTAATGGATTTCAGGTACCGAGCAAATTGGTAATTTTTCCTAGAATAACTTTCAAAATCAGATAATGAAATTATTCGATTTTAATGACACTATAGCCATTATATAATAGAATTTATATATTATGTATTTGAAATAAGCAGGTCATCAATTTTATTCAAATCAGAAGTTCAATTATTAATTCTGAAATCTCATTTGATTTTTGGAATTTTTTTGTGATGCATTTCGGTATTGGATTGGGATTTCGGCATTAATTTTAATCATCATATTCCAAACTAGTCAATACTATAGTCTAAACATAAAGGGGAAAGTTTAGGAAGATTTAGGGTTCCGGTATCATCTTTAAAATGACTTACCGAGAACGAAAAAAATCGCTTTGGTTCCATTTATTTTAAGGTTTTTGTGGATTGATTCATCAATTTTTTGAATTGAGTCATGGTTTAACCCAGGTGTATCAATAACATTGTAAACATTGTTGTTGATAGTAAACGAGCATTCTTCACAATATTTGGTGACAGGAACTTTCTTTATATGCAATACAATTAATAAAATTAATCATAAGTAGGCAATAATAAATCATAAATATATAATATAATTTAATAATATTGCAAGATTAACATACACTACGCTTCACTTCAAACCTGCAAAGTTCATTACCAGTAATATTTCCTATAAAATTTCCTAACATACTTTTCCCCGAACCTATAATTTAATATGTAAATTAATTTTATACATGCATTTTATAAAATTTATAAAATTTAAATATTTACCGGTTTCCCCAATTAAGAAGATTGTGGATTTAGCTTTTGTTAATTCAGGTTGATAAGGCACATTCATATATAAATATGCGAGAATCGTGAAAATCGCGAAAATCGTAGAAATCGTCGGAATCATAGGAATAGTGGGAATCATAGAAATCGTGGGAATCCTCGTAAAATAAAAAGGGATATGCCATAAATTATGTTTTTTTTCCTTTTTCCAAGGCTCTTCAATTTTGGAAATCATTGTTTTTAAATCATTCATATTCTTAGTAATTACATCATTACATTCAGCAAAAATATTAGGATCTGGTGCAACAACCCATCGATTGTTAACTTTTTTGATGTATTCTTTTATAAAATCCGCAAAAGAATCTTTCATATTTTCAGGATTGTTGGTTACTGCCATGTTACATTTTGTAAATACCATTATTACATTTTTATTATTTAATTTTTTCATGCATTCATCTAAATGAGACCTTCTATCTGATGAAAAACGTTGTCCCTCTATAAGTATAAATAATAATATTGTTATGCACATGGATATATTAAAAATGTATGAATTTGAAATATACATACCAAGTACAAAAAGAATAGCATGAACTCCATGTTCATATGAATTGTCAATAATTTTATCAATATTCGACCATACTTCATTTGAACTATTTTTTTCATTTGTGAATCCAGGTGTATCCACTAAGATGAATTTTTCTTCATCTTTTTCACCTATAGAAATTTCGGCAGTTTTTATTTCCTGCTGATAGCGTTTCTAAACATTGGATTGAAATACATAAGATAATATTTGGAGGAAAAAAGAATAACATTATGGCAAAACATAATAGCATGCGGTAATAAATACCAAAAAATAAAGTTAAAAACAAATAAATAATTAAAAAGTAAATAAATACATCTCCACCGTATCCGTCATAGGGTCCTTCATAAGGTATAAAAAGTTCATTATCATTATAATTTCCGCATGCTTTTAATAGCATATTTCCGACAGTACTTTTTCCTACACCTAATAAAACAGCATAAAATTAATAATGTAAAATATACCTTTGGATAGGTTAGATAACATGCCTTCTTTTCCGATCAAAATTATAGAAGGATATTTATATTTATCCATAAATCTCTTTTAAAAATTGGTAAAATTTTTTAAGGTTTTATTGTTAGCAAAACTTATAAAAAAGGGTTGAAATTTTTATCTTAATTATTTACGTCTCAGATTTATATAAATAATAAATACAGTACACTATAGTAAGAATGAAAGCGAAGAGATATTGTTACATGCTTGATTGACTTTGGATATATTTGGTTTTAGGCGTTAAAAAAATTATTCAATGAGATTCTATCTATAGTTTATAGGCAAAAATAACAAATTTGCGCAAAAAAAACTTCATTCAGTTCATTGAGTTTTCTAATTTTATTTCATAATCAAAATAATATCAAATTCAAAGAATTGATTAGAAAAACCTTAAAGAATAAAACAGATAAGCCTGAGAAATGAATTCCTCAAACTAGTTATAGTGTGGGAAAATGTCCGCATTTAAATTTACTATTTCCTTTAGATCCGTTATCAAATATTGTTCATTGTTTCCTACTATAGACTTAAGTACTGTACATATATTGAAATATATGCATTATGTACATCCATACGCGTCGTAATTTTTTAACTATTAAGTATGATTTTCCGGAAAGTATTTTCCTTAAAGAACATGTTTAAAATTAGTTAGCATCGTAGTTATAGAGTTATAGTTGGGCTTTGAAGGCTTAAACTATTAGCTTAAAGTCAGAGGTTAAAACTATTAAGGGTTAAAACTTAGGTCACTTGACCGCCAATGTTACAAATATAATATCTCATAGCTTGGATCGGGTATGTTTCATCCTGTTATCACTAAGTATCAGAATCAGAACTATAAATTTTTTATAGTAGTGGAATGACGATAAAAATCACTATTAAAACCGACTGTGTAAATCACAAGATATTACAGCTGTTTCAAAACGGTGTGAACAACAATTTCCATATACCTATGTGGGAAATTGAAGAATCGTGAAATTCTGATTAGTAAAAATTGTATGTTCGATTAGTATAGGCTTTGAAAATTCTGGGAAATCTGGGAAATTTCGTGAATTTCTCGAGATAATGTGATCTGTGTCTGTTAACGCCTTTTTGAAAACAGCTGTAATATTTTAGAGATGCTCGGCATTCCATCACTAGTTGAAAACTATAATAAAATTCCGTCGCATTTTTATATCTTTTAACTGCCGATTACCCTTAAATATTATTGGAATTATGTCCTTTTTAGTGTTTGGATCCCTGATGAAGCTGGGAAATTCATTCAATGAATTTTCCAACGGATTCTCAAAGGGTCCAAGCACTAGTCTTTTTTCGGGAACCTGAATTACAGTATTATTTAAATATACTTGTCTACAGTATTATCTGTCAAAAATATTATTTATTCTATCTCTATTTTTAAATTAATGCGATCATAGAGTTCTATGTATCATACTATTGTTTTTACAATGATAATATATTGGGTTCTTATAATTCATATGATTCTATAATTGCACTAATTTAAAAGTAGCGATAATAGTAATTCCAAAGTTAACCGATATACAAAGTAGACAGTCCACTTATTAAATAAAAGTTAAATCACACTATGCGACAATTTATTAATAACATATAATAATTAATCATATTATTATTGCACATGTACTTAATCTATAATATAAATTAGAGCATTTAAAAAAAACTTTAATTGAAGTTAGTGGATATAGCAATAATGTTGCAAAAATATTTTTAAGAATATTTGGCAAAAAATTTTTTTATATAGGTCTAAATATTATAATATAAGTATTATTATCACTTAAAATACAGTAGTTATAACTATTGCTCAAACTAAAAACATTTTAATCTAAAATATGTCTCAAATTCTAATTTATATATTTGAACAATTTAAGTTCAAACTTATTTCAAATCTTTATAATATATACTTTTATATTATTTTTAAAATATTTTTAATTTAGGTGTGATAACTTAGTGAAGTAAATAAGTTGTCATACCTCCAAGTGGTAGGTTGTGAGTTCAAAACCCATTAATGGCGAAATTTGGATAATTACCTATATAATATATAAACAGTATTATGGCAACAGCATTCTGTTGGTCAGTTGGGATAGGATACCTGTAACTATGGTCACATCAGCATAATTGGCAGATCTGGGACATTTGTGTAACCTGTTACACAGAGGAATGCAAACTGTTACTGGGTGGTGCAAACCTAAAATAAGTTTTCAGACTGTATAAATCTGTAGAACTGAAAAGCTGAAGCTTACTTGAAAATTCTGAGCAGAGGGGTAATACAGATCTTTGATGGTACTATTGTAAAGGCTAGACCTAGAAAATGAATACTAATTTGAAGAATTTGGGTAGACAAGAAGCTCAGGTAAGAGGTACTACCAACTAGGCCACCAGATTTTAGACTGTAAGAAAAGGATATTAGACCAGCCTCAATATACCAAGAACAGGTCACAATCCTTCTAAACTATCTAGGTTCAAAGCAAAAGTATACTAAAAGTACTAGAGATATGCTATGAAGTCAGTGTTGGGTCTGAGTGAACTCTGTAAGAATAGCCCATGTTAGTATTCTAAAAGTAGATAAATAGTTAACAATGAAGAGCCTTCTGCACCTTATTGGCAGGTAACATACTCTAAAATGTGTAACAGTCTAGGAACCAGTACAAAAAGAATAGGTAACCATACTACTCAGATAGTATACTGGTTAGGTATATATGGGGAGTAAATTGGGAATTCCAATATGACAGAACAGATGATCAGAGAGTTTAAAATGAATAATTTTCTAGTAGGTTATAGGTATGACATCCAGTATAGAACCTTAAAGTGGATTACTTAAATAGACAACCAAAAGTTGCATGCATGACTAGCTGTACTCTCATCTCTGTAAAAATAGTTGTAATAGCTAACCTAATATAAGTCAATAAAGTATCATCACAAGTATAACTTTTAACATAAAATAAAAATTTTCAATTCAGATTATTGTTATAATGAGTTTGAAATACATATTTAGCTAGAATTTTGAAACAAGATCTTTATTAATTTAGGCTTTATAGCAAAAAATGTTTAACTAATTTGAGTATAATTAATTAAAATCTTAAACTAGTTTGGTTTATATATTAACTATAATCATAATTCATTTAGTTAAATCTCTTGTAATATAGATAGCATCTATACTAAATCAATAATTATTTATAAATTTTATTTGTAATGTCATATATATTACAAGAAATCTATCTAATTTGTTAATATCTATTTAATAATTTTATTATATCTTTTAGAAAAAATATCTTTTATTTCTTAAAATTGATGACAACAATTCCAAATCTGATTTATTATTTTTTATAAGACAAACTTCAAAAAAACTATAACATACTATGGATACAATTGAATATAAGCTAGAGTTATATGAAAAATAACCTCTTGAAGAGATCAGAACTAATAATGAAAAAATAATAGAATTTTATACTGAAAATTCTTATTAATAAGATTTTTTATTCTGAGTAAAATGGCATATAATTATCTTTGTATTAAGTCTATAAGTTTTTTGAATAAAGAGTATTCTCAAAGGTTAGATTTACAATTATAAAAGATAAAGCAAATCTTAATGAAAATACTGTTACTTATACAATACTTATATACTCATACTTAATAGAAAGTTAAAAAGAATTTAGCCTTTTCAATTTTTTTTCAGAAGTAAATTAATTTTTATTATTGTATATATATGTAAGTAGAGATCCTTAAAGTTAGAAATACTTTTTTATGAAATTAGTTTTATTACTTATTATATTACAATTTATACACTATTGATATATAGAGTATATAGTATGTAAATCAATATATAAATACTATATGTTTACTTTAAGAGACCTCTATAAGTAGTAATATTGTATGTATGTACTTATTTTGAAATAAATATATAAGAAAAGATTAGATATTATTGATAATAAAATCTTCAGAAAAATATATTAATATTATTTCTAAATTTTTATTAAACAGATATTTGATTTAATATTTATCAAACTAAAAAAAAATGAATTTTTTAATTTTTTATTTTAATTGAGGTATTATAGTACACTATGTATATTACATTATCTTCTCTTCAGATTTTATTCAAATGAAGAAATTTATAAAAGAAAATTAAAATTTATTAAAAAAAAATTGAACTTTAGTATAACATATATATTATAATATTTAATTTTTAATTATTTCTATAGTTTAGTAATTAAAACTAAATAATTTTTATATTATTTACTTCATTTTAATAAAATAAATCAAATAACATTAATATCATTCGATTCTAATTACTGTTTAAAAAAAGATATAGCTATAAAACATAAGTGCACTATAATACTTAATTTTTTTTAAATGAATACTATTTGTAAAATATAAGAATTATTTTAGAACCTTGCAAAAAAGTTAATCTAACAGATATAAAGTACTTATTATTAAGATGGAATAAACAAAAATTGCTATTAAAACTGCTTAGCCCAATGCTGCTGCATTTATTAGATTTGACATAGTTAATTGCCAGTCTACTAAATGCTAGTATAAAATTATAATAATGTCTAGAACTTAAACTAGGCATAAATACAAAATGTCTGGCATGTTTAAGTTAGGCACAAAGTACCTATAGGCACAAAAATGCCTGGCATTTTTAGACTACTTATGTCTATGCCTATGTCCATGCTAAGCACCTTAAGTTAGACACAAAAATACTATATGCACTAATGTGTTTGGTATTTTTAGATTGTAAACAAATTATTTATTGGC